CTATAGTCTTCGCCTAGTTCCCACTTCACTGTAGCATGATCCTCTTTTATGTCTGTCAGAGTTTGCAGCAATCTAAATGGCACACAAGGAAATAATTCAGCAGGATTCATTTATAGTAAAAACTTCTTTATATACAATAATATAAATTATATATTCAATACCCATGCAGTAGAAGCCAGAACTAGAGAATCCAAAAGCAATGAATTGCAAGGACAAACCAATTCTTTTAGCTATATAAAGCCATGCCCAGGCTCCGAGCTGTCTGACACGGCTCACAACAAATCCTGTTTCTTAGTCACCAAACAATTCCCATTGACTGACTTGTTGTTATGGCTACCCCAACTCATAATTTCTTACACACTGACAATGCCTTTTTAGTAATTGGGTGGAGGCTTAGAGGTCACAAAAGTGAGATCCTTCAGAGTTGCACTGTGCCCTAAGGATTGCACAAGAGAGCATTTACCCTTGTGCTAAAGTATACAGATTTTAATAAAAAATGCATGGTTGTGATTTACAACAATGGTTGTTCTTGTTTGCAGGGTATGATGAAAAATCAAGATGGCGGTCCTGACAGTGTGCTCAAAACTCCATTTTGTAGGTACATCAGTGCAATAAAAATGGACTGATATTTGTTCACAGCTTTGTGACCACCACGTTGACTTTTTGGACCATATTCTGGGGAATACGCACATTGGCTCCTTGTGTCCTCCTGCACAATGGCTTTTTAGCAGAAAGTAGAAAAAGTGATAACTGTGTGGGAAGAATCAAGAGAGGAAACGTACCTGCTATTTCTCCCTAGTTTTTGGAATCCATTTCACAAAATTGGTCTGTAGGATACAACGGTGACTCTGCCTTATTTTCCCCAATATCTTTGTCTTGGTCAGAAATTAGGTTAAGACTTAAATTAGGTTAAGACTGAAACTTGCACAAATAATTAGCATAGAGGGTTGTTTCTCAATCTCGGCAACTTTAAGATGCACTGATTTCAAGTCCTAACATGGCTGGGAAATTTGGGAGTTGATAGTAACAATGTTCAAAAGTGAGAACAATTAATCAGTGGGACGCCTTGACTCCAGAAGTTGTGGATGCACCATCACCTGAAGTTTTTCAACCAGAGATTGGAAAGCCATTTCCAGTCTGAAATGGGATATGGCAGTGGCGGCTAATCTTTTTCGGCTCCCGTGATGATGATGATAATTGCGTGCATGCTAGCTTGTGCATGCTCATGTGCCAGCACCCAGAAGCCAATATGTGCGGCCCCCCATTACCCCTTCGCATGCGCAAGTGACCCCCCTCATGCACTGCACATCTGTGCATGCGATTCCCCCTCACGTGCCGTGCATCTTTGCACATGCACGTGCGACTCCCTTGCATGCAGCGCATCTGCGCATGTGTGTGCTTTTCCCCCTCGCACACCTGCGCATGCGCATGCGATCCTCTCATGCGCAGCGCATCCTTGCGCATCTGTGTCCCTGCACATGCACACACATCCCCCGCGCATGCCCCCTCCACCCCTGTGCATGGTCACCAGATACCCAACAATCAGCTGTCGGGCAGCGTTGCGCGTGCATGCACAGTGGGGTTCTTCCAGGCGACCTCTCGCATGCCGGGGGAAATGGCTCTGCGTGCCACTTCTGGTACGCGTGGCATAGGTCTGCCAACACGGGTATAAAGTCTTCTGATGGGCTGGCTGCTAAAGCAAATCAAGGTTATATGGCATATACTTGAAAGGAGATTCTGTATTAGATAACTCCTGGAGCATTCTTTAGCCAAGGCTTAGGAATAGGGACAACTGGAGACTAATAGAACAAAGATGATTACTAAAATGTTTATTAGATGATATTTCTTACTATCTCACCTTGTCCTACCTTTTGCTTTAGTGAAAATGTGTAGACCTTTCATAATTCTTGGTTCTTGGCACTTTGTCCAGGATCCCTTCACCTTGTATCTGGCATCCGTCATCGGCCTCGGCACCAGAATCAGATCCGAATTGGGGACAATAATTTGTGGGCTCATCCTGGGATTCCATGCCTGAATTCAATTGGAAGACACCAATGACCAGAGGAGGGCCCCCAGATGGGTAAGACTAGTGGCTGAAAAGTGTGTGATTGTCTGAAATAAAGCTCCCAGCTGATGACTAAGATTGTGTGTTTCTGCATTGTCAGCCACAATCAGGGCTCATGACAGTGAATGAGTACCCTGAAAAACAAGGTATGTTGCAGAGATCCGCATGTCTCACCGATGCATACAGTGGATTGATTGAATGCAATGAGCAATAAAATTGTTTTTCCATGATGATGGTAGTGATGATCCAGTCAAAAGTATATTGAAAGAAAACATCACATTTTAATCACTTTAGTAAGATCCCAATATTTAAAATAGAGCAAAGCTGAATGTTATTTTTACTTAGGGGGGAACCTGGATCAAATACTAATTATACTGCAACATAATTATGGTACTTACACAATGAATATAAGTACATGGTAATAAGAAAAATGATTAGAAACAAATGAGAATATTGAGTTGTAATTAGCCAAGGAAAGTAAATAAACAAGTGAGATGATGACAATGATGATTGTTTGAAGATTTGGACTGTTCAGAATGATGTTCTGGCAACATTGTATTTTCAGATAAAAGTTACATAGATTTTAATATATAGCTCTTGAGAAAGAAATATGTACTTCTTAATTTTAAAAAGTAGTTATTCTGGGGGAAGAGAATTGTATTTCATTGCAAGGGAAATGTGGTGCAGTGGTTAGAGTGCAATATTGCAGGCTGCTTCTGCTGACTGCTGGCTGCCTGCAACTTGGCAGTTCCAATCTCACCACAGGCTCAAGGTTGACTCAGCCTTCCATCCTTCTGAGGTGGGTAAAATGAGGACCCAAATAGTTAGGGGCATTATGCGGACTCTGTAAACCGCTTACAGAGGGCCGTAAAGCACCATGAAACGGTATATAAGTCTAAGTGCTATTGCTATTGCTATCTAAGAATTTATTCCTCAAAAGTCTTCAAGGTAAAATATGGTGCTAAATGGACCAAGTGGCCAAAGAAGTACATAATTGATTCTAATTCACTTTTTGAGCAGCAGCATGAGGAATTAATGAGAGTCATGGAGGGGGGAGGGGAAGTTCAGGTTCAATTCAATTCAATTCAATTCGAGGAGGGGCTGCCCCAAAGAAAAGGGGATCCACCCATTTTCCAAAGCGCCAAAAGGCAAGACAAGGAACAACCAATGGAATCAATGAGAGAAGCAACCTATAACTAAGGAAAATTTCCTAACAGAACAATTAACCAGTAAAAGTTCTTTCCCACAAAGAATATAGTTACCACGGAGGTAAGAAGAAATATGGAAGTCTCCAGAGGTATTCACCAAATCTAGAATTGCTAATACAGAATTGGCTTAATCAATGGTTGGAATTAAAAGTCTACAGAAGTTGGTCTATTCATTTTTCTCTATTATGATTGGGGTGAAAATAACAGATAACAGATAATCAGAGTTGGAAGGGACCTTGTAGGTCATCTAGTAAACCCCCCACCCCCACCCAAGCAGGAGACCCTACACCATTTCTGACAGATGAGAGTCCAATCTCTTCCTGAAAGTCTCAAGTGATGATGCTCCCACAACTTCCAGGGCAACTTCTGTTCCATGGGTTGATTGTTCTCCCTGTCAGAAAATTCCTCCTTATTTCCAGGTTGAATCTCTCCTTGTTCAGTTTCCATCCATTATTCCTTGTCTGGCCTACAGCTTGACCCCTTCCTCTCTGTAATAGCCCCTCAAATATTGGAAAACTGCTATCATGTCTCCCCTGGTCCTTCTCTTTACTGGACTAGCCATGCCCAGTTCCTGCAACTGTTCTTCATGTTTTAGCCTCCAGTCCCCTCATCATCCTGGCTGCTCTTCTCTGCACTTTTTCTAGAGCCTCAACATCTTTTTTATAGTGTGGTGCAGGGATAGGATTCAAAAATCCCAGCAACCGGTTCACTTCCCAGTTGCTGGGTGGGTGTGACCATGGTGGGCGTGGCCTGCTGGAACTTCTGGGAAGGCCGTTTCTCGCTTTCCCGAGGGTCCGGAGTCTTCCCCCGGCCTCTGGGAGGGTGAAAACGGCGTTCCCTAGGCACCGGAGGCCCACCAGAAGCCAGAAACAGGCCCGTTTCTGGACTTTCAGAAGGCCCATTTTCGCCCCTCCCAGAGCCTCCGTGCAAACCCTTCACTTACCTGCATCACGTGGAGATTCCTGGGAGGGGCCAGCCAGTCAATTGAAATACCGGTTCAGCGAACCAGATGAAAACTTACCATCCAGTTCGCTCCAACTGAACCGGTAGAATCCCACCCCTGGTATGGTGACCAAAACTGGTTGCAGTACTCTAGGTGTAGTCTTACTAAGGCTTTATAGAGTGGTATTAGTACCTCACTTGATCTTGATTGTATCCCTCTGTTAATGCAACTTAGGACTGCATTAGCTTTTCTGGCTGCTGCTGCACACGGCTGGCTCCTATTTAACTGGTTGTCCACTAAGAGTCCAAGATCCCTCTCACAGTTCCTGCTATTGAGCCTGATTTCACCCAGTCTATATGTGTACATTTGGTTTGTAGGACTTTACTTTTCTCTACATTTAATTTCATTTTGTTAGATACGGCCCAGTGTTCGACTCTGTCAAGATCCATCTGGATCTTGAGCCTAACTTCTTGGGTGTTAGCTATTCCTGCCAGCTTATCATTCAAAAAGATAATTGTAATAGCATGTCTTATTACCCCAGACTTACCTCTTTTAAAAAATAAAATCTTTACTACTGATATGTTTTCATATTAATCATTGTTAACTAACTGACTCCTGTCATTCACAAGAACCATGTCATTACTCAATATCTATTGTCTAAAATATTATGTTTAAATGTATTTAAATACTATTAAACCTGGTTTTTTATTTCTTGGATTCTAAAAGGAAGCAGACAATAATTAAAGTTGCTATTATTTGAAAATAAGTCTTTTACTTTGGGGCCTTTGGCAACGAAAACAAAATTCCAGATAAAGGCATTGCCTTACAAAGAGGGAAGGGCAGAGTCTATCCACTGCCGTTTGTCCATTTAGAAGTATGTAGCCATCTCCATCACAGGTCATCTTCGTCTGACAGAGCATCAAGGTAGTCTGTATCTACATATAAGAGAAATCCCGAAAACAGACTGTCTGCCCACGTGGGATCAGAAAAAAGGCCATTTTGGTCAGTGTAGAAGATCTCAAGCCACACCTCATCCTCAGGTTGAAGGTAAATCACCGTTGACCCAGATGCCACATCGTGGTTTCCGGTGTTAGCATCAAATGTCTTTATCCGGAACTTCCCATTATGAACTAGACCAATGGCCAGGTGCTTATTTGCCAGTGTGATGTCATAAGAGAAATAATAAATCCCTGGGATGGCACAGATGAACTTTCCCGTTGAAGGATTATAATGTCCCTCTTCGTTAAAAAGGACCTTGTTAAATATGATTGGCAATCTTTCCTCTGGGTAACTTGTAGTAATACCAACAGAGAAAGCTGATCTCAGTATGATTTGCCCACATTTACAGATTCCCGGTGGGCCCGTTTTTCCTCTTTCTCCTTTCTCCCCTTTTGGTCCTACTGGACCAAGAGGTCCCATGTCACCTTTACCTCCTACCGATCCTGTAGGCCCCCTTTTGCCAGGCTGCCCTTGGTCTCCTCGGTCTCCAGTTTGTCCTGCAGGACCCGTCTTTCCTCTTACACCTGAGAAAAAGGAAACCGTTTTAACCACACCATTGTGTCATGGAGTATTATTAAACACAAGATCATAATTCTCTTTGGCAGCAAGCGGGGCATTTGGTTCCAGTAGGAACAGTATCACTGAGGTACAATGAGGGCATTTTATAGAAGTCTTGACTGATGAAAGCTGTAATAGACAGAGGCCAAAACCTCCAACACTCATCTTGTGGGGACCCACAGCCAAGGGTGGGATTCACCAGTGTGGACTGGTTCTATGGAACCGGTTGTTACGATTCTGCATTCAGAGAACCAGCAAATCACCCCATTGGCTGGCTCCTCCCCTCCCCACCTGCCTCTTCCCTGGAGGGGAGAGGCCCAGCTGTCCTGACACCCGGTCAGCCTCTATAGGCTTCAGTTTCCTTCCCTTTCCTTATTTTAACAGATTAACAAACGGACCTTGCGGGTCATCTCGTCCAAACCCTGCCCCGCCCAAGCAGGAGACCCTACAGCATTTCTGACCAATGGCAGTCCAGTCTCTTCTTGAAAACCTCCAGGGACGAAGCTCCCACAACTTCTGAAGGCAACTTGTGTTCCATGGGTTGATTGCTCTCCCTGTCACAGCTTGCGGGGTGGGGGCGTCACACGGTCCCTGGACAGAGCCACTTACCCAAAATTAAGTGAGTGGTGAAGACTGGCAAGCGAAGAAAGCGGGCGAGGAGCGGAGATCAGTAATATCCAGTTACTTTTAAGAGTGTCTGACACTATAGTTAGCATTTAAAAGATGTTATGGAAGAACAAGTTTCACCAGACAAGACAGACTGAGCTGAAAGTGGATTTGAAAACGACAGTCTATAAAAAAAGATGTTACACTATATATATAAAAGAATGGCTGACATTTTCATAACTACAATTAATCAATTGAAAATAAAACAACGGAAATACAATTACCAAACCAAGGGAGTTTGTTATTTTGTGCCAGTATTGGCACAAAAAATGTTTCCTAGCCAAGACTACTTTCTGATTGATTATCTACTACCTACCTGTCCTTCTGGATCCAGAACTCCCACAGATTCTTAGCTCTATTATTCTCCACAATCTTCTGTGGAAACTCCTTGATGGATGGATGGAGAATTTTGGGAGTTAAAGTCCACACATCTTTCAGCTGAGGAACACTGATCTTCCCCTTGGGTTCTATCTAGTGGGGTAAATCCCTGCTTCTATGGATCTGATGCTTTGTGCCTGTTCTTGTGCTGTTATGATCAGTGATTGGTGCTACCTTTTACACACACACCACTTCAGGAATAATTATAAAAATGATGATAAAAATGGTTTTCTCACTCATTTCTTTGCTAGTAGTTGAAACAAAATAAGCAGCGCAGCCATAAATGTCACTTAAAGTTGGGAACTCAAAGTCAGATGTACAGTAAATGTAGACTGATTTTTAGCTACACATCTTCCCAGCAAACAGCAAATTTTGAAGCTCCAGGTAAAGACAATTCATTTTAGGTTGAGTAACCACAGTTTGCATGTTAGAGGTTCTTAAAAGAATGCTGGGAAATTCTGTATTTTAAAGAACATTTGAGGGAGGGATGCAGAATAGCCCTTCTCTGCCTGTGGCTGTAAAGACCCAGCACCAATCCAAACACTGTTTGTGAAGCAACTGATCAACATTGACAGGGTAAGTCACTAGTACATGAAAAAAACAACAACCCTCCACACTCCCTTCTAGTACTGATGATGTTACCCAGTTTAGTAATGAAACATCTGCAAGAAAACCATAAAGCTCAGAGAGCACCAAGGGCTCCCACAGTTCAACCCTGAGCTACAAACATTCTCTTCTATCGATAAACACTTTTTGGTTAGAGGGACTCGGAGCCTGACTTATATGAGATGGCTCCCAGTGGATTTCGTTCTAAATTTTGATATGATTTCTGTAAATAAGGAATGTAGAATTATAATGGCTGAGTATTTGATCCTTCATACATCAAAAAAAATACAAAGCTAAGGGATAAACAAAAACAGATTTGAAAAAGGAAAAGGCTCAGGAAAGAAAAAGTGTAAGTGTAAGAAAGAGGAAAAGAAGGAAAACAGAAAAAGAATAACTTCCAACTTTCTTTGGTACAGATATAAGTAAAAAATATATCAAATTCTTACTCTAAGATTAGCATTTGTCTACATTAGTTGCATAATCCCATATCTAATCATCAAAGCCCAGATCAACTTTTAATTTCACTTTCTCACAAAAAGTCCAGTAATGGTTCATATCGCTTTAATCGCTATCTGTAAAGGAAGCTGATTTATTTAATTGCAACAAACTCTAAATAAAACAGGAATGAAAAATCCTAAACTGTTGAAAAATTTTAAAGCTGCAGGAACAGATGGCTTAACTGGAGAACTATGAAAATAGCTTTTGGTATGCCTATGTGACTATTCTAATATGATGGGAAGACTACATCAGTATCTGAAGATTGGTAGAAAAATGAATATAAAAATTAAAAGAACATTGGTTTAATTAAATAGTCCTGAAAAAGTTTGTAGCAGAAGTCTGATTTGAGGGACTATAAAAGATGACAATGAGCAAAATTTAGGAAATGATGGGCAAGGGGTATAAATGTGGAAAGCTTTATTGTACAAATGTTGATTTTTAAAAAGTATATGTATATGGTAAAGTAAACATACTTCCATTACGGAACATTTTGTGTGCATATGATATTGGAAGCTTATTGGTAAGAGTGACATATGATGTAAATATAGCATAAGCAGGGGGTTCAACTAGAAGATCTCCAAGGTCCCTTCCAACTCTGCTATATGGGAAGAATATATGGGAATCATCAAATGCTTAGCAAATATTTCAGCACTGAGCAAAGAACAAAGATATGTGACATTTACTTGGTTGCTACTATTTATGTGAAATAAATGCTCGCAGCAATATTAAAGTTATGGGTTGTTTGGGAATGTCAATGTACATGTTATTTTGAATGTAGACAATGTTGTTGACTGAGAACCTGAATGATTTTCAGTGACTGTTGGGTGATTTGTCTGACTAGCATGGATATGAAAACTGTTATATCAAAGGTTATGTTAGTTGTTTTTGCCAGAGAAAATGGAGCGAATCGTTAAAAAATCTATTAAAATGGCAGAAAAAGAGCAAGTAGATGGATTTGTGAACTTAGATTGTTACTGAAAAATAAGAAATAGAGACAATTTAAATGCATAAATTATGCTGAAAAGGTAATAGAGTATGTAGAAAGAAGTGAAAATGGCTATATATCAGAAAAGACAGAATTAATAAGTTTAAAGTACAAAAAGCAATTTATGATGCGGTAGATCGGGGTCTCCAACCTTTGGGACCCCAGGGACAACCCAACTCATAATTTTAAATCCTGCAGACAACAGACCCTGGGAAAATCCCCCAAAAAGTCTGCAGGAAAATTCCCCACTCTGTTTTTCTACCGATCGATTGTTCTTTATTTGGGATCGCAAGGATACCATCTCCAGCTTTGTTCTCAGGGAGAGAGAGAAAGAGAGAAAGAGAGACTTTTGGCTTCATGCAAGGAAAGCAGCAGAAGCAGCAAGAAGTCTTTCTTTCTCTCCTCCAAACTCTGCCAGAAATGAGTCTTTGTAAGACTTACCACACCGATGCAGCCTCTTGGAGCAGGATGCCTTGCAGGGTCCCAAAGACTCATTTCTGGTGGAGTTTGGGGGAGAGAAAGAAAGACTTTTGCTGTTTTCCTTGTGTGCAGACAAAAGCAGCAGAAGAAAGAAGTGGAAAGAAGCAGCCCGGTGCCCAGGCCAGGTGCGTGAGGCGAGTGGGGCAAGTTCCCCTCCTCTGCCCTTTCCCCCCTCCCCTCACTGCCTCGTGTTGTTCACAATGCAAGTGATGCAACCCTTGTGTTCCCATGAGCCATGCGGGCAGCACAGCCTTGTGTTTCTGCGCAGCCTGGGTTAATTGCTTTGGTGGGGGTGCTTTGGGGGGTGACATTGCTCTGCAGACCACCAAAATTTTCTCATGGACCACCAGTAGTCCCCGGCCCACTGGTTGGCAACCACTGTGGTAGATAGATATATAGTTGAACGCTGGTTGGCTAGGATGTATTTTTTTCCTTGCATTAAGTTTTATCAATTGATTTATCCATTATTTAAGCAGTATATATTGAAGGAAATCTACATTTTTTGTTAATGAAGGTACTACAAATTGGGTAAACTGATGCAAATTTATAGTTGCACAAATTATATACATTAACACAAATGACATAAGTATATTACTTAGGAATTTATTGCACATTCAGGTTTAATGTGCATCCCACTCTACTTTCATAGGCTGTCAACCCAAGGGTTTCCTGTATTTCATTTTCATTTTTTAATTCATAATTTATCTGACTTATTGCCTTTTATTCCTTTTTAGTGCTTTGTGCATATGCTTTTAATTATAGCTCAAAGAATAGGGTTCCTCCCTTCCTCTAAAAATTTTATCAAGGGAAAAATTTCCTTCATTCACCATCAACAATTTTAGATTTATGTCATTACTACTTAAAGTATGCATTTAATCCTATTAATCTTTTGTATGATCTACTTTAATTAAATGAATGCAAGCATTAGCATGAAAATTACTAAAGTGACTGAAACTGAAATCTGGATACATGAGTATTCACATCTGCCATGAACTGATTTATTTAATTTTATCAAGTGAGAACTGTATATTGTTATTAACAAATTACTTGAATTTTGCTTGATTTTTACTGCTTTTGGACCCAAGAGTTTACAAAGTATTTTAGAATATGGAGACATTTAAACATCTAAACATCAATAAACGTATTTCATTCATTTTGACAATTCCATTGTCTTTACATCTGATTATGAAATTAGACTCCTCCCCTTGAATTAGATCATAATGCACTTAAGACTTCCTTCTTCCCATAGGGATGTATAACTAAAGCAATATTGGAATAAATCCTAATTAGCTGCAGAGGATTCATCAGTAATCGCATTAAATGATTGATAGCTACTTTTGTTCAGGGAAGAGG